CCTCCTGCGTGTCAGGGAGCACAGCAGGTCTGTGTGGAAGTGCTGGTTACAGTCACTTTTGGCTCAGATTTTACCTTCAGAGTCTGAGCAGGACTTTGTGCTTCCTGCACATTGGCTGGGTAAATCCTGGTGGATTTCTGAGGTGATTTTAAACCGTCAGAAACTGGAAGGGTTGGAGATGTTAAATTTTCAGTAGATTGATTGGTGATTTATAGAAAGTGTTCTTATATAATTGTGTAATAGATATTAGGCACTGGGATGGGCCAAACACCAAATTTGGGGTTAAGAAATAATTTTCTCCAGCTCCAGTTGCATGGAATGTTGCAAGAGGGTGTTGTTGTGTGGCACAGGCAGTGAAATCTGGCTGTGGGCATCACTCCAGGCATTTAAGTTTAGGGTTCCAAGGTTCTGTTTATCTAGATGAGGCTTCTCTGTTCATCCTGTGTCTGGGCTTTCAGGACATTTCTCATTTAAAGCTCCTCTTCCCAGGCTGTGGGATAAACCAGGCACAAACCTGTCTGAGAATAACAGAATTGTTTGGAAAATCCCTCTGGAAAATCAAGTCCCACCATTCCACAGCAATGCCAAAGCATGTCCCCAAATGCCACATCCACAGGGCTGTTAAAATCCCCCAGAGATGGGGACTTCCCCCTGCCCTGGGCAGCTGTGCCAGGGCTGGACTGCCCTTTCAAGGAGGAATTTTCCCAATATCCAACCTCAGCCTCCCCTGGCACAGCCTGAGGCTGTTCCTGGGAGAGCTTACAGGAGTTGGGACATCACAGAGGGGCTGCTGCCACCAGAATGAGGGAGGATTGTTCATGGTTCTGAGGAAGCATTAGTAGGTTTTCTGACATTTTTGTAGCTTCCTGAAGGGACAGACTAGTAGGAAATGGGGGAATACTGAGGGAAAGTTGTACTGCTGTCTTAGTGGGAGGAAAATGAAAACTGGTGATGACCAGTGAGGGTGAAGCTGCCCTGGGGCTTGCCCTGCTTGCAGTGGCTTTGCTGTTGCCCCTTTTCCCAATCCTCCAGCCAGGTGTGCTGTGCCCACCTCCCTCCCCAGTGGAAGCTGCTCCTGTCCCATGGGTGGGATCTCACTGTGCTCTCTTCCCCAGAGCGTGGCCGACTCCTCCTGGATCACAGAGCTGCTCTGGACCTTCTTCGTTCCCTTCACAGTTTATCAAGTAAGGTACTACGTCTCTCTCTTCCGTTTGGGGCAGGGGTGGGGGTGGGCAGGGCTGTGGTGCCCCCCTGGCACTGAGAGCTCCCTCCCTGGGTGCCTCAGCAGGGCTGGGCTTGGCACCATCTGGGCCTGGCGAGTCCTGCTCCTGGACCAGCTTCTGATGCAGAGAGGGCTCCTGGTTCCTGTTGGGGAGGGACAGGGGTGTCAGGCTCTCCAGGTGTTTAGGTCCAAGTTTCCAGGTGTGTTTTTGAAGCTGTTCTGGCCCAGGTGTCTCTGTCTGTCCCTGCAGTCCCTTGGAGTGGGGTGGTGCAGATCCGAGCCCAGGCTGGCTGAGCTGCTTTGCTGTAACGAGGGCAGTGGAAGGGACTGGGAATCAAATGTAGGGCTGAGAATCAAATGTGTTTCAGCAAAGCAAAGCCTTTCCCTGTTCAATCTGCCTGAATTCTGGGTGACCTGTTTCCTACTTCCATGTAAATGGCCACAGATCCTCATTAAGGCCTTTCTGGGAGCTGCAGATCCCTGGTGTTACACTTGAGCTCCAGTGCGCCGGTTCTGTCCTGGATTTGGGAGCGGCTGCTGGGCTGTGCTGCTCCTCTGGGGAAACCTGGGCTGAGCAGGGAGCGTGGAGCTGGGGGTGGCACGGCTGGCCCTGGCAGGGTGTCCCCAGGGCTGCTCCCAGCAGGGCTGGCTCCACGTGCTGCTGTCCCTGGCAGGTGGATGCCGTCTGTCCCCAGGCGAGCGGACGAGCGGAGTGAGGACTTTGCGCTCCGAGTTCAGGAGGTAGGAGGGGCTGGGACAGGGATGGGTGGGACTGCTGCACTTTGGGGTGGGCACAGGGCACAGCACGGTGCAGGCAGAAGGCATTTCTGGATGTCTCTGTGTGATGGGAGCTCTGGTACATTGTTGGTTTTGGGGTTTTTCTTTAATTTTTTTTTTTTGTTTTTTTAATAAGGTTGGGTTTGAAAGTGTTCAAGATGATATTCCACATTTAGACTTAGGTCTTTCTTTTTTTAATTTATGTTATGCTTTTAAAGTAGTGAGTTTTGTATTACTTTATTACTAACTTATAAAATGGTTATGTATTTTTATAAGATTTTATAAAGAAAAACTAATTAAGAAATGATACTTAATTTTTATCGTAATAATTAACTACTTGTGTTTTGTAATGTGGACTTTTTGTTTAATTATGAAATTACTACTTAAACTATGAATTAAACTTACTACTATGAATTAAAATTACTACTTAAACTATACTACTTAAACTTACAAAGAAGGACTAGTTTTTGTTTTAAAACTTATTTTGTTATATATTTTATTATATTCTAAAAATTCAAACTCTTAAGTTTTTTACTACGTGATATTGCACACTTCAAATCAAACTACACACTCAATCTTAGTTCTGTTATTTAATTTTGGAAGCTTTCTCTACGGCCTCGGGTCAAATGCAGTGCTCTCTGGGGGCTAGAGTCTGTCAGCACTGAAAGTCTAAAATTCTCAGCATCCAGGACTCCAACAGAACATGTTTATTGCCCCTTGCAAGACCTCAGTTATTTCATGGCCTGTTTGCCACCCCACACTGAGCCCTTCTGCAGCTGTCAGGGCTTTTCCCATCAAGCTCAAACCTTTCACCCCCTTTTTATAACACCACAAATCATACAAAGCAGTTGTTTCTCCACCCTGCCCATATGTGCTGGGTATTTGACAGCTCCAGACATCTCATACCTCCTTGTCAGCCTGTTTTGGCAGGATAATATTGCTACTCCTGATCATTCTCGTGCCCTCTGTAACACTGAAATGCTTCCCAGAGGCCCTGGAGAAATCAGCTCCCAGCCCTCCTGCCCTCCCCATGGCTCGGTGTAGCCCTGCCATGCTGCCCAGCCTGCTGTGTGCTGTGATTTATGTGTGATTCTCTGTGATTTATGTGTGATTCTCTGTGATTTATGTGTGATTCTCTGTGATTTATGTGTGATTCTCTGTGTTGCACAGCTCTTGGCCGTGGAGCTGGGTGTGGTATCCACACGGATCACCGCTGCCGACAGGACCGAGCACATGAAGAGGCTGAGGCACACAGCACAAAGGATGCCCTTTGCCCCAGGTGGGGATCCTGGCTGTGAAACCTCGGCCTGGGCTCTGCTTTTGGGGGGTCTGTGTGTGCTCTCAGTGACAGACTCACCCTGTGCCCGCTGTCCTTTCTCCTGCAGCCTCGAGCCAGCGCCCGGCAGCCCGGCCCAGGGTGCCCCCCAGCCTGCCCGGGGGTGCTCCTGAGGACGTGAGGGTCGTGGCCATGGCACAGCAGGTCAAGGAGGTGCTGCCTCACGTGCCCTTGGAGGTCATCAGGACAGACCTGGGTGAGCAGGGGTGGCAGCAGGGACGTTTCTGTGGTCTGAAAGAAGAAACTTTGTCACCACTGCACATTGGCAGCCAGGATGGAGTGTCCTGATCTCTAATGGTCCCTTTGTCCCCACAGTCCAAACCAACTGTGTGGACACCACCATTGCCAACTTGCTGGAGGGGAGAGTTCCCTTCTTCCCTGAGAGTAAAGAGGCTGGAGACCTGCCTGCCCCATCTACCTCCCAGGCTGCAGCTGCTTCTGGCATCCAGGGCTCTGTGGCTGCGCCTTCTTCCAAGGTACTTTGGGCTCGTGTCTCCCTGCTCTGCTGGCTCGTGTTCAGGGCTAGCCAGGGCCATGGAGCACCAGCCAGGTGCTTGCAGAGCCACCAAGGAGCCTTCATCTGTCTCCTGATGGCTCCTGTGCTTTCCCTTCCAGCCGGCTACAAAGCAGTTTGCAAAGTCCCCCGTGGAGCGTCACCTGTCCCTGCAGGAGAGGAAACGAGCCTTGTACGACTACGCCAGGAGGTGAGAGCCCCCCACAGCTCCCCGTGCCAGGGCCACACAAAATCCCCCCTGGCCAAGCCCCCAGATCCCGGCCCCAGCAGCACTGAGGTACCCCAGGCTTTCCAGTGGGCTTTCCAGTGTCCCCCCCTGTGGGACTGGGTTTCTCTGTGTCCCACTGGCACCGTGGCACCCTCGGTGTGGGCAGGACCTTCCTGTTTGGCACCAGGGACAGCTCTCTTAATGCTCCTTGCTGTGAGGGCACAGGGTTTGATCTCTGTGCAGGCTTCTCATGAGGCAAATCCTGGCACAAGAGGCCAGCTCTGCTGTGTGGGTGTTGGTTTAGGAAGACACAGAAAATTGAGGATGTGTTTGAGGGGAAGCTCAGTGTGCCTGGGCTTGCTGGGCACCGGAGGGCTGCAGTGGTGCTGAGGGAATTGTTCTGTTGGGAATCCCTACTGGACACCGGGCTGGGATCCTGTGGGTGGTCCTGGGTCCCTGCTGGGACACCGGGCTGGGATCCTGTGGGTGGTCCCGGGGGACCGTGAGCTGCTCTGGGCAGCCCTGGCAGCCCCTCACTGCCCTCCCTTGGTCCCTGCTCCACCGGGATTGTCCCCAGCAGGGGCTGAACCCTCCCCGAGCAGCTCCTGCTGCCTTCACCCGATCTCCTGGGCTCCCGGTGAGCGTGGGATGAAACAGATCCGAGCAGACCCGGCGCTGGGCTGCTGCAGAGCCCCCGTGTCCCGGTCCCCCGGGGCGATCCCGGGGTGGGTTGGTGGGAGGCCCCTCCGGTGCTCCCCGCCCCGCGGTGTCTGAGGGAGGCCGCTCTCTCCCGCAGGCGGTTCGCCGAGAAGCACGGCGTGGCAAGGGCCGGCGGCAGCCCCTGACCGGGCCGGACCGGGCCGGTGCAGTCCCTGACCGGAGCTCGGGGCCGGTGCAGCCGCTGACCAGAGCCCCGGGCCGGTGCAGCCGCTGACCGGAGCTCGGGGCCGACGCCTGCTCGCGCGCCGCACGTAGGCGCCGCTTAAAGAGGCAACGCGGCGGGGCCGACGCGGCCGGGCGAGCTGCGGCTCGCGGGCCCCAGCGGGCGGAGCCAGCGCCCCTTTAAGAGACCGGCTGCCGGTGCCGGTGGTTTTATTTACATGGGGGCTCGCGGGCGTCACGTGACTGTCAGCGGCGGGGGCTGCGCGCGGAGCACCCGCGGGGCCATGGCGGGAACCGGCGACGACGGTCCGGGGGGAACCGGGGCACCGGGGCGGGACCGGGGCCACGGCAGAGCCGGGCGGGACGGGGAACCGGGGGTTTCGGGGCACCCAGGGGTTTGGGACAATGGGACACCCGGGGAACCGGGGGTTCGGGACAGTGGGGAGCCCGGGCGTGAAGGGGTCGGGGGCACCGGGAGACCCGGGAGGTGGGTGTGCACACGCGGGGGGCAGGGGCACCGGGAGCTCTGGGAGGTGGGTGTGCACAGGTGGGGATCGGGGTCACCGGGAGCCCCGGGAGGTGGGTGTGCACACGCGGGGGTCAGGGGCACCGGGAGCTCTGGGAGGTGGGTGTGCACAGGTGGGGATCGGGGTCACCGGGAGCCCCGGGAGGTTGGCGTGCGCCGTGGATGGGGAGCGGGTCCATGGGGAGCCCAGGCTTTGGGGTTTTTGGGGGGCTGATGTGCACCGGGGGTCAGGGAGCACGGGGATCCCGGGCAGGCTGGTGTGCACCGGGGGTGGGGGTGGATGCTGGTCCCGGGGTGCACAGGACATCCCGGGTCAGGGGTGTGCCGGGGAGGGCTCCTGGCCGGGATGGGGTGCAGGGGTGCAGGGGCTGACGGCCCCCCCAGGCTCCTGGGTGGAGCTGCGCTGTGGCCCAGGCTGCCCGGAGCCCGAGGCGGCGCCTTCGCCGTTCTCCTGCCACGCCGACGTGGAGCGGATGCTGCTGGAGGCCCAGCTGGAGACAGAGAGCAGTGACGGGTGAGTCCTGAGGGGGAGCTGGGCTCCAGAGCCCTGCTGAGCTGGGGCCACAGGCTGACTGAAGGTTTCTGTTTGCAGGGCCCTGCTGGTGCTGGGCTCCCCAGCCTGGGACGACGACGGAGCCAGCCATGGCAGCGAGCAGCCAGGGGACAGTGAGGTGCTGCCCACCCACAGCCAGCCCCAGCCGGGCTGCCCTCACCCCCGGCAGGTGAGGGAGCTGCCCCTGGCACACCCTGCAGTGCCCAGGCCCTGCTCTGAGCTGCCCTGTGTCTCCTTGCAGCGGGATGTGCCTCAGGAAGCCAAGTGGAGGCAGCGACGCCTGAGAGCGTCCCTGGGCTGGGCCTGTACCCACTGCCCTCGGTACCTGTCCCCAGAGTAAGTCCTGTGTCACCCACCAGCACATCCTGCTGCTGCCCCCCATCCTGCTCTCCCTGTTAACCATGAACTTTTCCCAGGGAATTTGCCTTTGTGTGCTCCCCCCAGCCGGTGCTGTGGAGCCTGCAGGGAGGTGCAGTGGGGAGGAAGAAGAGACTTTTCAGTTCAGAGCTGCTGCTGCTCTTCATCCCCTCGCTCCTGCTCAGCCACCTGCTGACCCTGGGGCTGGGGTGAGTGTCTGTGGCTCTCACCATGGGGCTGGGGGAGGAGGGAACACTCCTGAATTTGGGCTGCTCATCCTTGGGTGCTGGCACCACTGCTCCCAGCAGCTGCAGTGGTGCCATCTCCCCTTGCTCCTGGCCTGTGGGGCCCGGCCCCCTGCACCAATGCCTCACAGTCACTCTCTCCAATCCAGGATCTACATTGGGAAGCGCCTGGCAGCCTCCTCAGCCAGCCCTCTGTGAGGAGCTGGGCAGGCAGCACCTTCTGCTCCGCTGGGAATGCAGGGAGAGCCCAGCCCTGTCCCTCAGCCCTGCCTGGGCAGCTGACCTCACATCCCTGTAGAACAGAACCCCCTGATGGCAGCTCCCAGCTGCAGGCAGCCCCTGCCCTCCCCAGCCCCTGGTTACGGGTCCAGCTCCCCCTGTAACTGACTGTAAATAAAACTGAGCCCACCTGAATAAAGAGCCCTGTGCCAGCTCAGGGCTGGAGCAGTGAGTCTCCTCCCTGTGTTGGGAGCACAGCCTGCCTTGGGGAGTGACCACTGGGCTCCCTGGGGCCCTTCCCTGCTGCAGGAGGGCGAGTCCCTGTGCTTTGGGGTGGTGCCAGCTGGGGATGAGCCCCCGGTGGGCTGTGGGCAAGCAGGGGTGGGTGCTGGGGCTCCCACGGGTGCTCAGCCCCATGCAGGTGCCTGGCTGATGAATTTGCCCTTTATTATCCGTGGCTGCAGTGCAGAGGTGGGAGCTGAGCGTGGCATGGCCAGTCAGGGCAGTGACACCTGCCTGGTGTGGTGGCAGGAGAGGTGACACCACAGAGCACGAAGCTGCCAGGGCCTGTGTGCACACCTGGCTGGCTGCTGTGCAGCTCAGGCCAGGAATGGGTCCTGGTGCTGCAGGATGGGGTGGGAGCTGGCCCACGAGTCAGGAATCACGCAGAAATGCCACTGGGGAAGTCACTGCTCCCTGCCACTGGCACGGTGCAGAAATGCCACTGGGGAAGTCCCTGCTCCCTGCCACTGGCACGGTGCAGAAATGCCACTGGGGAAGTCCCTGCTCCCTGCCACTGGCACGGTGCAGAAATGCCACTGGGGAAGTCACTGCTCCCTGCCAGGCACAGTCCGTGGGCAGCTCGGGTGGAGGGAGAGGTGCCTCACCTCATGGCTGGGAGGGGCTGCGTGTGTGGGAGCTCAGCGTGGCTCCAGAGGCATGGCAAGCACCCAGGGCCAGGTGGGTCCCAGCCCCAGGGGACACCCGGAGGTGTCCAGAGCTGGTGGGACACGGTGGCACCGCCTGGTGCACACAGGGGCTCTGCTCTGGGTGTCAGTGCTGCAAGAGCTGCTCCAGCAGTGAGAATCAAGCAGGGCTGTGGGTCCAGCAGCTGGCTGGGCACAGGGGCACTGGGCAGGGGTGGCCCCAGTGCAGATGCAGGTGGCATCAGGTCAGAGCTGTGACAGTCGCTTGGACTTGGGTGGCGGCAGCGGCGGGGACTTGAGGCTTCTGTTGCCATCCACTGTCGGGGACGGGGACACCTGTGAGCAGAGAGGGACGTGAGGGCAGGTGAGACTTGGGCCAGGGCTAGCCCTGTGCTCCCCCCCTCCAGTAGCAGCCCTCCAGTACCTTCCCTGCTGCCGCAGCGTCGCTCTGCTCCAGGAATGTCTCGTACACGGCGGGGCTGAACTTGCGGGGCAGCGGTGGCAGCTTGCTGGCGCTTTTCACGCGGCCACCAAAGCCCGTGGGAGACAGGGACAAGCCTGTGCAGGCAGGAGAGAGACGTGGGCTGGAGGCTCAGCCAGCCTGGGGGTGCCCAGGGCTGCCTAGGGGAGTGTGGCAGTGCTGGACAGAGCTGCCGTGGCATGTGAGCCCAGCCAGGAGCAGGGGCTGCCTCCCACCACGGACAGCACTTGTCACCAAGACTCAGTGCCACAAGGTCCAGGATCAATGGCTGTGGCCCCACAGGGAGTGTTCAGCAGGGGATCTGCCTGTGCTCCTACTGTGTCACCGTGAGGGGACCTGTGCTGGGGTGGCGTGGGAGGGCACAGCTGCAGGGACTCAGGAAGGTGGCCTGGCAGGTTGTACCTGCAGCGCTGGGCTGAGCAGCAGCAGCAGCAGCAGCTTGGCTTGGCCCGTGCTGTTTCCTGTCAGCGCTCGGGCTGCTCTCACTCAGGTTGCAAGAGAGTCTCCACTTCTCGTCCTGGGGCACAGAAGGAAGGCTCAGCACCTCGGAGGGCCAGGCTGGGTGGCAGCTCCTGCAGTCCTGAGTCTCCAGCCTTGTGCCCCTGCAGCCCCTGCTCCTGCCCTCCCTGCAGCAGGGGCAGCCACCAGCCCCTCGAGGGGTCCCATCCAGCTGGGGGCTGCTGCTGCAGGCAGGGCCAGGAGCTCTGGGTGCAGCAGGACACCCATGGGACTGCGAGCAGGGCCCCTCCGGGGCTGTGCAGAGCATCACCTTGGGCTCTGGCAGCTCCGAGATGGACTGGCACGAGTCCGGCCGCCGGGAGCCGAAGATGGAGCTGGCACGGTTCTCCTTGCGCTCGTTCCTCTGCTCCTCGCTCTCGGAGGGACGGCGGGCAGGCTTTGGGGTCTTTGGGGTCGGGGGTGCCTCCGTGCTGTGGGGTGACAGAGACAGGTGAGGGGCAGCAGGGGAAGGAGGAGCAGGGCTGCAGCATCGCCGGGAGCGGCTGCACCATCCACAGCAGAGCTCCCGGGAGGTTTGGGGGACAAGAATGGGTGGCTCAGGTGACAGCAGTGTCCAGGTGAGCCTGGAGGCTGCACGTGGGGTGTCTCACCTCCGTGCCCCCCATAGGGACAGGGCCACCGGGGTGACCTGGCAGGACAGACCCCTGAGATGCACTTGGCATAAAGGGAAGGTGGAAGGGCACTGGGGAGGTGGGAGAAAAGCACCTGGGCCAGAGTGAGGAAGGCTGAGCAGGGAGGGCTGAGGGGGATGAGAGGGGACGAGCAGCACTCCCCAGTGCAGCACTTGCCTGGCTCCAGCGTGGCTCAGCCGGTCCCAGTCAGGTACCCAGGCTATGGAGCGGGGTCGGCCGCTGCGCCGGTCCTCAAAGAACATCTGAGACACAGCCAGGAGGGATGAGAGGGCAGAGCCTTCCCAGTCCTTCCCTGGGCTCAGTCTGACCAGTCCTGCTTCTGTGCCACCCCAGCAGTGCCATGCCCCCTCCCCTCCTGGGGCAGGCAGGCACCCCGAGATCCCCCATACCCAGTGCTCCTCACCCTGTTCCTGCCCCACATCTGCATGGGCGTGCCCAGTGTCACCCCCAGGGTGCCCAGCCCTGCCTGCCCCGTGCCCTGGCACTCACCATCTCGCGCACCCCGTACTGGCTCTCCACCTTGGCCCTCAGCTGCTCGAAGCACTGCTCCATGCGCTCGTGGAAGGGCCTCAGGTCCTCTGTCACCTTCTGCCCATGGATCCTGATGCCCTCTGCCAGCAGCGGGATCTGAGGGGCAACGGGGACTCGTGGTGGGGCTCCCTGGCACCGGGGGCAGCTGTCCCTGCCTGAGGGATGCTGCAGCTGGTACCTGCCAGGCGATCAGGTCCTTCAGCTTCTCGATATTCCCTGCGTCCTCGGGGTGCTCCTGCATGTAGAGCTCCTGGAAAAAAGCCTGCAGCAACCTTCCTCAGTCCTCAGCTCCACACAGGCTGGGGGTGGCAGAGGGGTGCCAGTGCTAGTCCTGGCTGTGCCCAGCTGGCCCCAGCACAGCCTCTGCATTCCTCACCTTCTCATACTTGGTGAAGCCACCCATGACTGCGGGGTCCACGATGCCGTTGAGCAGCATGGAGAGAGGGTTGATGGGCAGGCTGGGGTCGTTCTGGTGCCTGTTGATCTCACTCATGATTTTCTCGTTGGTTTTCATCATGGTCTCAATGGCGTTTTCCAGGGGGGAGATGATGATCTGTGTGCAGGGAGGGGTCAGTGCTGCCCCTCCTCGTTAAGGATGGCAGGGTGGGCTCTCCCCAGCCTGGCAGGAGGGACCCCTGGGGCTGCACATCTCAGCCATGAAGCCCCTCAGACCCTGGCACCAGGGGATGTGCTGGCCATGCTGGTCCCTGCTCCCAGCACAGAGCCAGCCCCATGGGCACGAGGCAGCAGTGAGGCCACAGGACAGCTGGTGTCACTTTGGGGGTGCAGCTGTGCCACAGTGGGGTGCACAGCCTGAGCACCACGGCAGACACACATGCAGCACTCATGCAGCCGTACATCCTTGTGCCTGCAGCATCCTGCAACAGCACTGCCAGGGCACCCTCTGACAGGGCACCCTGTGACAGCCCAGCCAGAGCACCTTGTGACAACCCAGCCAGGACACCCTGTGACAACCCACCAGGACACCCTGTGACAGCCCACCAGGGCACCTTGTGACAGCCCAGCCAGGACACCCTGTGACAGCCCACCAGGACACCCTGTGACAGCCCAGCCAGGACACCCTGTGACAACCCACCAGGACACCCTGTGACAGCCCACCAGGCCACATCACATCTCCACTCCATGGCTCCTGAGACTCCCTGGACGCTGGCCAAGCACCTGCCCCTGAGAGAGGAGCAAAGCCCATGCACAGAGCAGTGGCAGCAGCTGCTGGCACCCCTCCAGCGCCTCTGCTGCCCCCCACACGCTGTCCCTGCTGCCCACAGAGCATGGCACAGGCAGGACACACTCCCCATCCCCAGCTTGAGCTCCTGGCAGGGCTGGCACACCCACCAGGGTCCTGGCAGGGCCCCCAGCCCCCTGCTCACCGTCTCAGTGGAGGTGACAACGAACCAGCGCAGGATGCCAGGCAGGGGATAGGCTGTCCTGAACGTTGTCCTCTCAATCCACATGTTCTGTGGGAAGAGCAGCAGTCACTCCCCACAGCCTTCTCCCATCACCCCTGGCTGCCCCGTGGCATGGGGGGCTGCCACCTCCGTGGGCACAGGACTGGGGATCCCCCTGGACCCTGAGCTCCTTGCAGGACCCCCCCAGCTGAGGGTCCTGGCAGCTCCTCCCTGCACTCACTGCAAATTCATTGTCGGGATCGCTCGGGCCCCTCTTGAAAGGCCGTGAGTAGCTGAACCTCTGGATGTGGTTGGCTTTGTAGAAGCTGTGGGGAGGGAAGGGACAGAAATGGGACAGGAGCCTCGTTGTGTCCCAGGCAGCCACCCCCAGGGAGCAGAGCAGGACACTCACTTGGTGATCTGCTCCGGGACGCTCCGGCCCTTGAGCCGCACCTTGGCTTCCTCTGCCGGCTGCACGGTGAAGCACTGGATGTCTGAGGGAGTGAAGGAGCCACAGGCACACACTGCTGGGGACAGGGGGCTGCAGAGCCCTGAAGGGCGACCCCCAGGGCGACAGAAAGGCATTTAAGGAATTCCCACATGGAGAGCGATGGGCAGAGAGCGAGCCACGCTCCCAGCCCCGTGCACGCAGAGGATACACTGCCCTGGGGAGTCAGTGATGTCCTGGCCAGGGGGAGAGGTGCTCTTCAGCTTCTCAGCATTGGGGAAG